GATTGAAAAAGAATTGATGCTGTCGTTGGCTACCATATTAGTTCTTTGTTGCATTGGTGGATACTGTTTATTCAGTTGGGGGCCAACGAATATCTGGAACTTTCTATGCAGCGCAGTTGAAGCATCATGGAATAAACTTGTCTAATTTTCTTGCTAATTCCTAAATAAAACCTTTATAATGATATTGTAACAATCATACGATATGAATATACTTCACGTCTTTCGATATTCGACAGAATTTAATTAAATTTTATGTTGTTTTTCTAATATTGCAATTTCATTCGTAAATAATCCTAATGCACATAAATGCCACAATGATTTCAATACGAGAAAATTAGCTGGCTTTAGTGATCTCGTTGTCTTCCACAATACCTTACTGTAGTATTTCCGACATTTACGTACCACCATATCGCAACAATTGAGAACGCGGAACCGCCACAAGGTACGGCTTTTAATTTTGATGAGGTTATCACATAACAATAAATGAATCCCACAAAGCAGTGGTTCTTAAAGTATGGGTCGCGACCCAAACATGGGTCCGCGGAAGGTTTTAAAAATGGTTCGCGACCAGGTCGTCAATGCAAGGGCAATCTAAGAGAAGAAGGACGAATTTTCAGCTTTCCCAATGTTTCAATTTAGCTTTTAAACTCTGGGGTATTTGCAAATAATGAAATATAAAATTTCATTCACGGAAAGAACTGTCTTGAGCTCATTGTTACATCACAATTCTGATATGCCAGTCACGTGTATTATTTTATGGTATCGGTAACCATGCACGTCGCTTGTCGTTGTGTTGACCGCGTGGAATGTCGTCTTAGTGGATTAAAATAACCAAAAATGGGTGTCTTTTTGGTAATGTAAATTGTAATAGACGACGCAATAAAAAAGCTCGCTTCTCGACATTAGATTATTCAATATCTAGAGAAAATGTGACTTCATCTCGAGGCACCATTTACCCCGAACGAAGCAGTGTGTGCACATTTGATGAGTAAAAAGTTGTATATTGCGAGAGATACCGAAGGCCAGCTAGGATGTCGTGTTTGCGACGGACAGCGGACGCCTTTTCTGCTACAATTCGCGACAAGGCACTTGTGCGAGCGAGGATATTTGGCACTGACGGTTATCAAACTAAGCTCGCAATCGCCTCGATACCCGTGACAACTTGCGTATTGCGTTAAGTAAAATAGAGCTGTGTATTGAAGATATAATGAAAAGGAAATTTCAGTTTCATCAATCTCACTGAGTCAATGGACTGTTTCTAATAAATAGTTGTCTGTATTTGAGTCAAACTGTACTAACATTAAAAACACATTTTGCGTTATTTAGGATTGGGGTCGCGAGTATTCATAAAACTCAGATTTGGGTCGCGCTCGAAAAAGTTTAAGAACCACTGCCATAAAGCCTACAGAAATTTTGGAGATAAATAAATGAAAAAGCCTTCTAGTGACGACAACAATCTTTATTCACAAATAATTTTAAGCAAATGGTCTAGCTCTAGCAGGTAAAATAGAAAAGACAAGAAAAAAAATAATGACAACAACAATAACAAAACGATCAATGGATTTATTTTGTGTCCAGCATACCCTTTTGTTTATCAATACCAGGTTGAATAATCAAATATAGAGAATTATTTGGGGAAATGTGGTTCATTTACACAGAAAGAGACGAAGGATTTGTCCCAAGTTGTCAACCTGACTATAACCTTAGATCTATTCTATCTAGAGTTCCAGGGTGTAAAAATAATATCATTTTTCCTAAAACCTAATTGCTTACCAGGTTTAACCTTGAGAATATAGCTGAATATATGGGTTATCACAAAGAATGTGAATATAATAGGTAAACAATAAAAATATTTTACGAAATTGATATGTGCAATATTAGGATTAATTAATTTTGTTTTTCACTCTTTTCACACGAATTAGGTTTATTTGGTATTCCTAGAAATGAATGGCTAGAGTTGAATAAAGATTGGTAGTTGAATTGTTCGGTTCCAAACTTGCGTGGAATTGCAGCTGGACCCGTTATTATTGATAAATCGAGATTCCCTACAACGTCAATGGAATTGAATGATTTACCGTTCAAGTCAATCATTTTGCAACATTGAATTTGTCGGGATTTGATTTTTTACATATATATTTATGACTATCAGTTCTCCCCTCCCAAGAAGTGTCCATGCTATTTGTCATCCAATTCGCCCCCTAATTTGTATATATGATATCAATTCGTTATTTTTAACGTGCGGCGTTTTAAGGAATGGGATGAAACTACGGCACCAGTCAAGCGTGATGATTGTTTTCGGCCGATTAATGGACTAGTTGACAACAAAACGGAAGCACTTGGCTCTTTTTTTTCTCATGTCACCTTTGGTTGCCTAGAACTGTTTGCGTCTAATTATAAATTCACCCGTTTGATTGACGTTTCATCGTGTCAGATGATTCAACTAATGGTAAACGAGAAGAAATGAGAAAAATAACAAGAGAGCTACGCACAAATATATGGACCACGTTAGACCAGAGCGAATCAGTCTTTACCGGTACCTTTGACGCTACCGGTACCCTCAAATAAAGTTCTGAATTTCCAGTAGCCAGAATTTTGCAGAATCAAAATGTACAGCCAGTCATCACACTGACTAAAATCCGTGTTCCCATGGATAAAAAATAATACAGCAAAATTTTAGACGAAATGATCAAATTTCATAGAATTCACGCAAAATTTTTGAAATAAATAAAAGACAAAAAAATTGAATCCCACCACTGGTTATAGGTAGTCGCATAGTTAAAATTCCCATTTTAATTGACTAGGGTGATAATAAGTGATTAGAGGTAAACATTGCAATTGTCCATGCAATAACTATACGTGGTACGGTTTGCGAGTTTCGTACATAAAACAGCAATACTGAAGTGATAACAGCTAGCTTCCCCCAAACTGAAAACAAATTAATGGATGTTAAGGAAGCAAAGTCAACATACGATTTTTAATCTTCTCAAATTTCAGCATTGTAATGAATACCAAGTCCTAGTGTGATTACAATTCAAAAATTTTATATATATGGAATTTTTGAAACCAGAAATATTTTCATGAATATATGTGGATATTTTATATCAAATTTAAAAATATAATCAGGAGATCATTAGACCATCAAACATTTTTTTCGCAAAGTATCCATATAGGAGATCAATCTTATCAAACGCTCGTTCAATGACTATAACGCAGGGGTCCCAAACTCGCGGCCCGCGGGCCAATTGCGGCCCGCAGGACGATATTTCGCGGCCCCCGCCTTGGTATGAAAGTTTAATGTTAGTGCGGCCCGTAAGTAACTCAGCTCAGTTAGAATGATTGATGCATTTAATATATGATCAGGACAAGTAGAGCAAAACAAAATATTTTGTAATCTACCCCCGGAAGGAATATGCGGTACGGTAACCTACTAGTACCGTACCTGTAGGCGTGATATTCGATGGACCTTTGACCCCGAAGAAATTTTTTTATACCTTACCATTGCAAATTCTTGGTGCTGATTTTAGAGGTGGCTTCGCGAGTTGAACCCTATAAACTGGGGTATATGTTTCACGTCATCATTTTGATTCAAAACATTCAACAACCTGTTTTTCAAGAGTACGGTACCGGTAGAGAAGTTTAACCTAGTCTATCACAGCTATTTCTAGCCTAATTTTTGATTACGGCAATTAAGCTACGACGCCCAAGCAATCAGAATGATCATTGAGTTCTTTGATTCATACTTGAATTTCTGAAACACAACCCAAAACTAACAAATAGCATGCAAAAACGAGGTAATGTTTACAAACATGCCTGAAAATCTTTCTGAGTGACAAGTGTCTGAGCGTTTGCGAAAAAGTCTATTGTTACGCCATTTTTTGCATCTTGTTGATTAGCCCATGTTACGGAATAAACAAGGATGTAGATGCTCGGGGAAAGGTCAATCGCGTAATTACTTACATTTATGTTTTTGACATGTTTTGCGTATGGAAAAACAGGGAAATAGATTTACCCTTTTAAGTTTAATTAATGCTTTTATTGTGAAAAACCGGATGCGGCCCGGACTCACTAAGGCTCTGTCTCGGCGGCCCCCAGGTAAATTGAGTTTGAGACCGCTGCTATAACGATCGGAGACCCCCCCCCCAAAAAAAAAAAAAAATTATAACTAAATTATAACTCGCTAATCATATGACATAATTTATCCAAAATCAATAGGCTTTTGGTACGAGATATGATGAATGCACATGGAAAATTTGGAGCAGATTCAACCTCGCTCTCGTGAAATATCGCGTAACATACGAAAGTGTATAACAGACAGACAAACAAACAAATACCTATCAACATACTTACCCATCAAGATCGATAAGTAATTAACACATTCCATCAACTGGGACAAAAGCTTAGCAGTAACTTTGCAAATGCTTAGATTAACTGTTTATGATTAGGTGGAAAACATTACGATTGTGGCTAGTAATGGGATTCAAAATTTTACAAAAAGGTTCTTTTACTCACAACAGGTCATTTCAAAAAACCATGCCGAAGGTATTCCTCTAAAAATTAGATCGGGTTCTCCGATTATCACGACATTCGTGCGAAGCCCAATTTTATTTATTTTTGAAATGTATGCCACTTGGGAGTGTTCTGCACGGTTCATCACATTTGAACCCCCGTACATTTGAACCCACGACAATTGCACCTGCATACTATTGCACCTTGGACATACTATTGGACTATACTATTGGACATTTTTTTTGTTTTGCGGATACCCTAACAACCCATTTCAGCACCGGCATATAGATTGAACCCGCGGATATACACATGGGTTGAAATGTACGTGGGTTCAAATGTACGGTCACCGTACTGCACAGTCACGGCGCACTGGACTGAATATTTATCTTCGCATTGACCTATATTGGTTAATCATCAACTTGGCATTTGCTGCTTTGCTGACTATATGTATGTTACTCGGCAAGCATGAGACATTCCAAACACGAAGCAGCAATATGAAGGTTATATCAGCCGGCTTTCCAAAAACTGGAACCAAGACTATGACTGTTGCTTTAAAAACATTGGGATTTAATGTTTACGATTACATGGAAAACAGTACAATTTTAGGCAAAGATTGGGAAAAGATATTTAAAGCTGGCGGCACCACTGAAGATTTTCGAAGAATGTACGAAAATGTGGATGCTGTGTCTGACGTACCACCATGCTATTTCTGGGAAGAACTTCATAAAGCCTTTCCGGACGCAAAAGTAACATCTAATTTTAATAGGCTACAAACAGAATTCTAGCGAAACATTTCTTTAATAATGGAGGTTATAATAAGGGGAAAGATTTATAGATACAGTTAATAGCAACGAGCAAGCAACGCTGATGGTTGGTGCATCAAATTCGAGATCGGCTGCATGAGTTTAAATTGAGATTACGACATATGATATATATTGATATAAATACATTTAAAGCACAATTTTAACATTTGCAGATAATTTTGACTACCAGGGATGAAGATTCATGGTTTAAGAGTTTAGTAACGCAGATGCGATCGGTTGAATCGAGTTGGACTTTGAAATTAATGTCACTCCTAACACCCTCTGGATATTTGTCGTTCAATATTTTATCGGATCATTGTGTTGGTAAGGAATACGTATATTACATCATTTCGTTTAACGTGTTTTAGTTGTTGCCAATATTAAACCACTTATGTATGTATCCAGAAAAAATAAAAAATTTGCAACATTTCAGTTCAAACGAATTTGTAACATTGGTTTGTGCGGAGCAAATATTTATTCTGTTTTGTGTCAAAGAGAGACTAAAATCATCATTACTGCTCTGAAAATAGCACATTGGGAAAATAATCATGAAACCCTAATCATGAGACTTTTTTCAATTCTAGAATTAGAATATGAATTTGTATTTTCTTTTTCATGCGATAATTTTACGAAACAATTTAATATTTTTCAGATCGGTTAATATTTGGTCTTAGTGATTCATTGCTCTGGAAGCCATTTAGACGAGTGACTTTAAACGAGCTACTTCTAAAATTAAAATTTAGAAAGCACAACTCACACGTAATCCAGGTATACTAAAACTGTTTCCACTCAAGTTATTTTTAAAGTGAATCTGATAAATGTTTCATTCATTACAAATATTAATGCTTCAACTGTGCAAATTATGCAATCACTATGAAATCGAATGGAGCCAAGCGGAAGAAAAGACTCGGAAGTGTAAAACAGCGCGACTCTCGTGGAGTGTGTGTAGTATTCGAGCGTATGGCGTTTTTAACAATTTAAGTCTTTTGCGCCACACATTTGAAACAAATATATTCTCGATATGCCTATATTATTTTCCAGTTTACTTTACAAAATCCGTTATTGAAAGGAAGATAAGACAGTTGCTGGAAATGGATTTGATATAAAAATCAATGCCATAATTGTTATATTTTTGTATATCGTATAATTGGAATTTCTGGCAACCCTCTTTTGGCTTACTTTTTCCCCTTCCGTTTTGTTTCTGCTTTTAAGGCTGCGTGTGTTTTTCGCTCTGTTCGAGTTATGTATTAAAGTTTACTGTTACTATACTTTTTGGTGCTTTGCTGTTGCTGGTTGGGGAGGTCGAAAGATTATTTTCAACAGGTTATGGGCCCAGCACGCTTCCGCTGCGCTGAAAGACTGAAAAGTAACCAGTGACTTTTGCTGCTGATTTTGAACTGAATATTGTTGTCGGTCGTTGACTGGTTCTAATCGGGTTCAATGGAGGACAAATGGTCTATTGATAGATTGGATGGGTCAAATTGGACAACATGGAAATTTCAGGTGCGTCATGTTTTGCTTGCAAAGGAGCTGTGGAGATATGTTGATGGCTCGGTTACGCTTACTGAAGACGCTGGTGAAGCAGCAGTGCTCGAATTCAACAAAAAGTCGCAAAAGGCATTGTCAACAATTGTTTTGTCTATCGATCCGTCACAGTTATATCTGGTAACTTCTTTTGATAAACCAAAGGCGGCTTGGGATGCATTGCGTAATCATTTTGAACGGGATACGTTGGCAAACAAGCTATTTTTAAAGAAGCAGTATTTTCGTGCGGAGATGGAAAAGGGAATGCGGATGGATGATCACTTGAAGCGGATGAAAGAAATTACAGATAGGCTGGCAGCTATTGGGGCGCCTATCAGTGAAGAAGATCAAGTTGTAACATTGCTTGGAAGTCTTCCACAGAGCTATTCAACTCTGGTAACTGCTCTGGATCGCGTGTAGATGGAATTAGCCTAGGATTTGTTCAACAGGCGCTTTTACACGAAGAGCAAAAGATGAATGGTCGCTCTGGAAATGGGAAGAATAGCAATCAAGACGAGTCAGCTTTGGTCGGTTCGACAAGAAACGTACGTGCTATGGATGTGGGCAAAAGCGGCATATTCGGCGAAATTGCCCCCGTAAAATGAAGAAAAAGTATGTGCCCACTGGATACCATAAAGCGGAAACTATGACTCCATGCCTGAACCAGAATCCAGTGAGATGATGATTCAGCAATGATCGGTTCATCTACAGTGCCCATGGATCGGAGTGGCTGGTGGATTCTGGGCGTCGCGTCACATGACTAAAGAAAATGAATTTCTGGTAAACTATAGAAAATTCAGTGTTCCGGAAAAAGTGGAACTTGGAGATGGCAGAACAGTGGAAGCACTTGGTGTGGGAATGTTCACTTGTGATGCTGTTTCACGGAAAAAAGTCGAAGCGAATACTTTAATATGACGTTCTGTATGTTCCGAAACTGGCATGTAATCTGTTTTCAGTACATTCAGCAGCAAGCAAAGGAAATATCTTGAAATTTGATCGTCAACTTGCTGGATCTACGGTGAAAATGGAATTGTACGTGGAATGGGAACATTGAATGGAAATTGTATCAGTTAAATTGTCGACCAAGCACTGGAACATAAGGGATGCTGGTTGACGGAAAAGAAATTGATCTGGATTATGGCATCAAAGATTGGGTCATCTTGGTGGTCAGCTATTAAAGGAAGCTGTACGGAAAGGCCATGTTTTCGAATGTGAAAATCTCCAGATGATGCAAAACTGTCATTTTGTGAAGCTTGTGTAGAGGGAAAAATTCAAACGAAAGCCGCTTAGGGCGGTTGGTGAAATTCGGTCTACACGGAAACTTCAGCTTATACACAGTGACGTTTGTGGGCCAATGGAAGTCAAGTCAATTGGCGGACGAAGGTATTTTGTCACTTTTATTGATGATTACTCACGGTTTTGTGCGGTTTATTTCATGGAGCACAAATATGAGGTATTTGACAAGTTCAAAGAATTTGAAACCCTGATGACAAATAATGCTGGTGTTAAAATTGGAACTTTGAGAACTGATAATGGTGGTGAATACGTCTCAAAGAATTTTGAAGCATATTTGCGGAAAGGGGGCATAAAACATGAACTGTCAGTTGCTCACACACCGGCTCAGAATGGTGTGGCGGAGAGGATGAATAGAACGTTGATGGAGTCGGCAAGATCAATGATATGCTATGCCGGAATGAAAAAGGGAATATGGGCTGAAGCTGTCTACGCAGCAGCATATATCAGAAATCGGGTGCCGACATCTGCCATCAAGGGAAACAGATCGCCTTACGAACTTTGGTATGGAAGAAAGCCGAATGTAAGTCATTTTCGTGTTTTTGGATGTGTGGCTTATGCTCATGTACCAGATTGTAGGCGGAAAAAGCTGGATAAAAAAGCTGAAAAATTGAGATTCGTTGGCTACGATTTGCGGTCAAAAGGTTACAGACTACTGGTGGAAGGAACTGGAAAGGTTTTTATTCGGAGAGATGTTGTATTCAATGAAAGTGATTTTGGTCAAGGAAAATTTGATACAACTGTAAAACGTTCCGATACAAAAGCTGAAAAATCTGCACCAAGGGAAATAGAAGTAGATATTGATGCAGTGGGAGTCAACGAATCAAATGAAGAAATGCCTCGGAGATCTAGTCGACAAGTGAATCCACCAATTAGGTTTGGCTATGATGAATATGTAGATGTTGCCTTGCACGATAAATCATATCATGTTGCGTATCTTGCTAGTCAAATTGCAGAGCCGAAAACTCTGGAAGATGCGTTGAATTCTGAGTGTGCAAGACAATGGAAAACTGCAGCGGAAAATGAGTACAAATCCTTGATGGAAAATGAAACTTGGGATCTTGTAAAATTACCAGCCGGTAGAAAACCTATTGGGTGTCGTTGGCTATTCAAAACGAAGTATACTAGTGATGGCAAAATTGAAAGATTCAAGGCTCGGCTGGTCGCTAAGGGATATACTCAGAGGTATGGCATTGACTATGATGAAATTTTTTCTCCAGTTGTCAAATTTTCATCTATCAGAACTGTGCTTGCTGTAGCACTAGAAAAGAATATGTTGATCCATCAAATGGATGTTGAAACTGCATTTCTAAATGGGAAACTGGAGGAAGAGATTTATATGGTGCAACCTGAAGGCTATGTTGCACAGGGCAAAGAAGATTTTGTATGCAAATTGAAAAAATCATTATATGGACTTAAGCAGTCACCACGGTGCTGGAATAGTGTTCTGAGTACGTTTTTGAAGTCCATGGATTTTCTGCAAAGTTCTGCTGATCCTTGTGTTTATGTACGTATAACCGATTCAATAACAATTGTTGCAGTGTATGTGGATGATATTATCATAGCTGCGGAATCGGTGTTTGAACTGACAAAATTGAAGGAAAGTTTTTCTACTCGATTCAAGATGAAAGACTTGGGTGAGCTTCATTATTGTTTGGGGGTCAGCATCGAACAAGATACTGAAAATAATTGCATACAATTACACCAGAAGCAGTACATACTGGGGATGCTAGAAAAGTATGGTCTGAAAAATTCAAAACCTTATAGTAATCCGTCGGATACAAATGTAAAGCTAAAAAAGGATGACGGTGGAAATGTGGATAAAGTTGATCCTAAAAAGTATCAAGCAATGGTTGGAAGTCTCTTATATGCAGCCATTGCTACTCGTCCTGATATTTCGAATGCTGTCAGTGTTGTGTCAAAATTTAATTCATGCCCAACGAAAATACACATGACAGCTGTTAAAAGAATTTTCCAGTACTTGAAAATTACATCAGACTTTGGCTTGAAATATGTGAAGTCTGGAAATGATCTAATGGGATATTCAGATGCAGATTGGGCTGGTGATCAAGATGATAGACATTCTACAAGTGGAAACCTCTTCATGCTTGCCGGTGGTGCCATTAGTTGGCTCAGCAAAAAACAACCCATTGTTGCTCTATCAACTGCAGAGGCAAATATGTTGCATTGAGTTCTGCCACACAAGAAGTTATTTGGCTGAGGAAATTGCTTGCTGAACTTGGAATGGTACAGAATTATCCCACAATTATTAGGGAAAGACAACCAGGGGGCAATTGCTATTGCAAAGAATCCTGTTTCGCATGGTAGAACTAAACATATTGATATACGTTATCATTTATTAGGGAGGCAATTGACAATGGGTTCTTGAACTTGAATATTGTCCTACTGAAAATATGCTTGCTGATATATTCACTAAGAGTCTTTCCTAGGGATCGTTTTGAGAGATTACGAATTGTATGGGCATTAAAAATGTTTAGCCTAATTCGGAGAAATTTCAATTAAGTGGGAGTGTTATATTTTGTATATCGTATAATTGGAATTCTGGCAACCCTCTTTTAGGCTTACTTTTTCCCTCTTCCGTTTTGTTTCTGCTTTTAAGGCTGCGTGTGTTTTTCGCTCTGTTCGGTTATGTATTAAAGTTTACTGTTTACTATACTTTTTGGTGCTTTGCTGTTGCTGGTTGGGGAGGTCGAAAGATTATTTTCAACAATAAATCGCGACATTTCAGCTATACATAAACATTTCATTGAAAAATATTCCACAACCTGTCTATTCTACAGATTTACTAGACAAGCAGCATTTTGGAAATTGCGTCCCTACAATGGCAAACAAAATTTGATACATAATCTTATGGGCCACAGAGATAGATTCCGTCATGGTCATAATTTACTACCAACTCTCGAAAACATCTTGAACGAGCCTCAAGAAATTGAAATATGGTCGCCAAATATCATTCAATTTCTCCACGTAAAGACGCAAGTCAGTATCAATACAATTTTGTTTCTCTGCTAAACCTCCAAATCGGCATGAACCGACAGATCGGCAAAGGTTTCACATTCAATCGGGACAGCTAGGGTTTTGTTTTTAACCAATTCTAAATCAAACATCTTGTTTTAAAACGAGGGCTTGTTTTAAATCGATTTTTTTCTGTTTTTTTCGCATTTTTCATTGAAATACCCCTTGCAAAACCGTAAACCTACGCCAAAACGTTGCGTCCTGTAAAATACACACGCTTCCGCAATAATATTCTCAAAAACGTAAGTAAAAA